GGGATTACCGTAATAGCAGGGATATTGATAGAGATCACGTTGAGCGTCTTCCCTGCTCTAGAACGTACAGTAACTTAATTATTCACACACATGACCTTACAAGTGATACAATCTGCATAGAGTATGATTGTGGCAAACTATAATTTTGTGATAAAGAATTTATATTATATTAGCAGCCAATCAATGGCAAGAAAAATGATAATAACTGTAAAAATTATTATGACACACTTGCGTACAGGAATTTTGGTGCGGTAAACATAAATACAAACGGCTGAGCAACAACACATCATTAGAAAATAATAGCAACAAACACCAATAATGAATAGTACAGGAAGCAGAGTGTTAGTCCATTGTTGTATATGGTGTGTAATGTTAATACTGTTGCTAATAACATTGATTTGGGTCCAAATAAAACTGTGTTTCTGCTCCATCAATGATGTTGTACTGCTCAGGTTGATTTCTTGGGGTCCAAAGTATTCTTTCCACGCGAGACATGGACATACCACCAGAAAAAATAATAATACAATGCAGAAAATCACACTGTCACAAACGATGTGAACATAGCAGAATATGTTTAGCACTTCTCCGGTTAGAAATAGATGAATGCAAGATTCTACTCTTGCACCTCTCAGTGGAAATGAGAGAAAATTGTGTCTTATAGCCTTATTCATACATTGCAGAGCACCATGCAGCCAGACATTTGCAGCAGAGTAGTTTCCCAGCTCATAGTAACTCTTCCCAACAAACAGTGATGGGAAACATTTATACTCAGCATAAGATTCCCCGAGGTTATCTGCACTTGCATAACTTTGTTCTCCATACCAGATTGCCAGGTGGTAGTACTGCTTTCTGAAGGCATCAATTGCAGAATCTCCACGATTTATAGCACATTTGTAGTTACAAAGAATCTTAAGTGAAACATTTGGATCATCTGTAGGGAATAAGAACAACTCTCTAGTCTTTTTGAAGTACTCTCCCCTTTTGTTAACAGTTGTATCACAATCACATGGAATGCCACTGGCAACCATTTTTTTCTGTAACTCAACCACGTTTACTTCCAAGTTCTGTGATCTGAAAAATTCGATGGCCATGTAGTACACTTCTTCAGAGTATTCACTTCTGTCGGCATTCAGCAGATATTGATATGCTCTTTGAGTTATCTCCACTGCGAAAGCTTCTGCTTCAGTGAAGTCATTTCCAAGAGATGTGTTCATATAGTCATTGTACAAGTGTAGTTGTAGCCTTATTTCATCCATGTGATGTAACAATTGCATTTGGTGATATGCAGCCTTTCTAAAGTTAAAGGCCATTTCTATGTCCCCAATATTCTGATATGCAACGGAGAGGCTGAAATAGTCACAGTTTGGATAACAATGATCGAGCTCATTGCTTGTTCTTCTAAGAATTTTATAATAACAACCATTTGATTTTTTCACATCCCCAATCTCATTGTAGTAATTTCTCAATATTGTATAAAATTCTGTGTACATGTGAGGGCTTAATGTACCGTTCTTATATCCTTTGTCAACTTCCGTTTGTTTAGTCAAAAGCAGTTCGATTGCATGTCTAACTTTCAGTTTTGATTTTGCTGCAAGTATTACTACTCTAATATATGTTTCAAAGAATGATTCCACACTAGCCCTCTCATCAGAGGAATAAGAATCCAAGCACTTAAGTAAAAGCAATGGTGTAGATGGTGGGAGAAACCGCAGCAAAATGTTTATTCGAAATTCATGTGATACTGTTTTAATTGCAAAGAAAGTATAATTCACATGTTTGTGGCTGATAAACAGCGTAAACATGTGCAAAATGTTGTGTACCTCATTATATAATATCTCCAGTTTCAATTTTTTCCATCATCTGGAATAGCTTTTTGAAGTAACTGGGCAAAGTGGAGTTGGTATTGGCTACTAAAATAGTACTGTAATTTTTCAGCATCCTTGCCATCACTTACTTGAGTAAAAAACATTTTTAACAGCTGGTGATAATGGAATTGCTTTTGACTCCTTTCATATTGTAGCAGAGACCTCTGCACTAACTTGTCTAGCATTTGTCCCTTTAAAATTGAAGATAGCTACAGCACTCTCTTTGGAGAACTTGCCTGGAAAGTGGGACAAGTTAACACACAACTGCTTTAACTCTGGTGTCAGATAACTATAGGCAACACCCATGGATACATCAACTTTTGAATGTAGTTCGTCTGGACTCAGTGTGGAAACTAGATTCTCTCTCAAGCCCTGTATCACTTCCTCTGCCGTAGGAGCACCAGGAAACTTAAAAATAGCCCCTACAACCTCAATTGCTAGTGGAACATTTCCTGTCAGATCAGCTATTTGCCTCTTCTGATCATCTGTTAAACTAGGAGCTACTGCACCCAACAGTTGAGTAGCTGCTTCAGATGAGAGGTTGTAAATGGCATGGAGTCGAAAGTTGCCAATGTCAGCTACCCATTTTTGGCTAGTAAGAAGATACCTCACACTTTTTTGGGACAGAGCAGTTAATGACTTTAATGCACCGACAAATTCCTCCTTTGAATGCTCCAAAATCTCATCACAGTTGTCTAGTATTATTAACGTTTTTGAATATTGCTTCTGTATCTTTTCCTCCAAATCACTGAATGTTACCTTAGTCTTACGGGACTCAACCATACTGAGTACAATCTTCTCAGCAAGAGTATCTATATCTCTAACCATTTTTTGACCAACGTCTACATAATGAACACTGACTCGTTTCCGTAAGAATATTTCCCCAATTTTCATGGCCAGAGTGGATTTACCGAACCCAGGAGGTCCAACAATGTGAACTACCTGAACATCTGAGGTGTAGAAGTCAAGGTAGCCAGTGATGTTGCGAATGTCTTCCTCTCGACCGACAAAATGACTCACAGATGGCAGACTCTTTGAGTGGCAGAGTCCCAGCTGGTAGCAGTCTGTGTTAGACCACACCACAGCTAGTAACACAATCAAAATAGAGACTCCAGTCAGTATGGTTTTCCAAGAAGTCAGCCAATCTGGATAGACAAAAATTTATCCAACACATTACACACAAGAGTTTGATATACTTACCTTGATGGTGTGTTGCAGATGTAGAGCCACTGTTGTTGGACTCATCTAAACAGAGTATAATCAAGGTTTACATATCATGATCAATAAAATTTTACGCTTTTACTACCAGTAATCGGTGTTGTGGGCTATGAATACCAATCAATGTCGGCAAAAATGCATTTCTGAAGTATGCCCTATGCTATGCCGCATGACATACTTTAGAGTGCCATTATGAGCATGCTAGTTTCTCACACTTGTACAAGTGGAAAAATCATTTCTTCAAAATGAAGGGAGATATAGGGATGGCTTGAAGCACCAAAAAGGAAGAAACAAGGGGTCATTTACACAGCTAAGATGCACAAAGCTACATGACACCATCCCTATATATTTGTTCGATATTAAAGTTAATTTTCCTTAAAACAAAGATATTATAGGGATGGTGTCATGTAGCTTTGTGCATCTTAGCTGTGTAATGACCCCTTGTTTCTTCCTTTTTGGTGCTTCAAGCCATCCCTATATCCCCCTTCATTTTGAAGAAATGATTTTTCCACTTGTTTCCACTATTTTTAACAGCTTAGGAAAACTTATATTGTTACAGTCACTCTGATGTTGATAGGTATGTTGTAGATAGGTTACCAAGGACAAACTCTAATTGTTGAAAGCTGTAGCTAATGGGCTGCTAGTGCCTGAAGCAGAAGCTAGCTAGATACCATATTCACCTCAGGTATTGTCTTCAACAAGGATGTAATTAGGTTATGGCACACAGTTGTGGTTTCAGGCAGGCTTTGGTAATCAGGGCTACAACCTAGGTGGGACAAATGAAGGCCCCTTTTTTGCACCTGGTGATGACTCTGCCAACCGTGTAAGTCAACAGCAAAACGCAAGCTAGCCAGTTGGAAATGTGAGATTTTACTCGTGCCATCCCTACATAGAGCGTCTACCGACGCTCTAATTACTGTGATGCTAAAGCACAGAGGTAGCTTATTGCCTAATGAACAAATTTTTTTAGCACTTTGCTACCGACAGATACCTTTTAGTCAGACAGACACTGACTATCACAGACAAAATAAAGTACACTTGTGTAGTTAACCCTCGGCGCGCATGCGCAGCGAGGGTTACAGTACTTGGGTCTGTGTGTCTGTTACTCTCAATCTCACTTCTCGGGTGTTTGTTCGTCTCACAAAGGATACCACCTACTGAACGGGCAATGAAGGTCAGAAATTTCGAATGGTTTTCTCTGAAAACGCTCCGTTGCAAAGCTAGAGCGCAAAAAAGCCAATATGCAAATACACAACGGCTTACTACGGCATGATCGACCCGCGTGCTCTGTGTACCTCGGAGTCACCAGAAGATGCAACGCAGGGTGTGTATCGCCTCTCGCATGCTATCTAGTAGTGTAGTTAGACCGCGTCAGACTCTGCGTGAGCTGGCAAGAGACCACGAGTAACAGCTAAAGCTAAACCCAGCCCATCAATTAGTGGTACGGCGCATGCGTTTACTTACGATTGTGCATCACAGTTCGCCGAGGGTTTGCACTTCAGTGCTTTTCATTGAATCAAGTAGTGCAGTCCAAACATATTTGTATCAAAATTGCCCTTAGTATAGTTGAAAAGTAAGGAAGCAAGCAACGACAATTTTTGACAGGTATACGTACCACATATTTTTGGGGGACAATGTTTACTTTCAATCTCATCTGCCAAACCAGTTAGTCGAATAGTGGGGTGCCTCAGGGCGGTTAAAATTGCTCTCCAAGTAGGTCTGGGGTCCACTTGTTTCACAAACTCATCAATGACACGAAACAGGCACTCTTCTGGATCCTTGTACTGCACATGAATTCCAGACACCCTGGATGGTGACAACTTGAGTACACGACCTAACAGCTCTGATTTAGTTTGTGCATCCAGTATGTTTGCAACTATCTCTGGAACATCATCTTGCAGCAATCGTTTGTCTAGGAAGTCTGGTGTAGTACCTGCTGTAGGATAGCAAAGTACTGACCATTACATACGCTACAAACTATAAGACGGGATCTCCTACCAGTCGTCATTCTTTGTGGTCTGTGGATGAGAGCAGCAGGCGGAAAGTTTGTCTCTAGAATGGGGTTGGGCTGTTCCGATCCGAACACACAGAAGGGGGCAGGCTCAATACGCCTAACGACCAATCTGGGTATACACAGCAAATGCTACGGTCCATCATTAGTATTTCAGACTCACTGTTATGGTGTGTTGAAGATGTATGGGAACTGTTAGTGATATCCTTGAATTCATCTGCAGGGAAAGGTTTTCAACAATGTGTGACTGAGTAGTATAACATAACGCTAGCCCACAGCATAATGATCTGCCTAGAAGAAGTTTTAAGTCAACAGATGCCTGTTATAACAGACGTCCATTATGCTTATTTCCCCTCATAAGCAATTTCTGCTCTTCCCACAACTGCAGCAACAGAACCTGTTACAGTAGCTAAGTAGTAACTCAATGTGCATTCTCTGCATGTGAGATCTACAAACAGTAGCACATCCAAAAGCAGTTAAAAAAGAGACCTTGTGAGGAGTTTTGTAAAGTAGTTCTCTATTTGCCACACCTACACAAGTATTGTACACCAGGGTTGGATGGTGCATACACTTATGTGCTCGCCAAACCGTATATTACCTCTGGTAGCTCTCAACTTCGCGCTTACGTCGTCAAAAGTCGGATCTTGAACCAGCATGGAGAGAAATTTCTCAAACGCTGCCTCTTCTGACTCAATTTTATCCTCCAACTTCTGTAGCAGTTCTCGACTACACTCTAGTTGCGTCACGGACGTGAGGGACGCTCTTTGTCGTGTCACTCTATCTATCAGGCCATTGCTGTACAGTTGCACTGCCAGACCCCCTGGATCTGTTACTGCTGACTCCATCTCCTTCAGATATTTGAGAAAGGAGAGATAGCCAGGGCGAGAACATGTCGAAGTACCAGCCATGTCTTTTCGCGGGACGCCCACAAGGAGGCGTGGTGTACAAGCTCAGCTCGTAAACAAGCGGGCATTATACTTGCTGTCCTCTGCACTGTTGGAAGAGTGATGGGGGTAGATTTAAATGCACCCAACCCCTATCGTTTGGACTTCTCCCAGAAGAGTATGGGTGTTGATGCACAGAGGAGAATCCTGAATCGCAACCACCGAAGACTACGTCAGGATGTGGACATCGAGACCATTTACCCGCACCTCAACGAGCACAGTCTACTGTCAGACCACGAGAGAGAAATTCTACTCAACGTTTACCACACACGACAGTTCAAGATAGACAAACTGTTACAGTGGATACCCATGAAAGGCAGTGGTGCATTGGATAAGTTCATAGATTGTCTGCGGAGGTCTAGTCGCGAAGCAAGTGGACACGAAAAGCTCGCAGACCTGTTGCAGAGAGATGTTGATCGTGATAGAGACAATCCTGATCTCGACAAGTGGCTGCGCATACAAGCCTCTCGTTTATCAACAATTAGAAAGTGAGTCGTTTGTGTATATCACCGACGTTTTTTCTATGTATGTTCACTGAAAGTAGTATACAACACACTTTCTCGCCACATTTTTGTAGACGAGATTCTGTATTGTGGTCACGAGGCATGGCTTTATTAATCCTCGGTTGTGAGTTCGTGCCGAAGGCGTGTTGAGATGGTGTGTTGCAGATGCAACAGAGCTGGCTTATGTAGGGGCTGTGCCTGTGTAAAGGCCAAGAGACCGTGTGTGAACTGCCTTCCTAGTAAGCAAGGCAACTGTGCAAACATATCTATCGCCGCCATCCCCAATGCTACCTCCAATGCTCTCGCGCCATCAACATCGACTTTGAGTCGTACTTCTCGTTCTACTTCTACTTCCGCTGTCAACACGCTCCCCACACCTATCACTTCACTATCAACAAGATCGGTCCGTGCCGTCAACACTGCCCCGGCCGCAACCCAGTCCGGTCCACCAACAACTTCATCTTCCACTCCAATTAGTGCACCCCGCAGCTCTGAAAATATCTTCGCGCAACAACAACTACCCACAGGAAATACACTACCTGCAATAGTCACAGCACCAGCTATGAAGAAGTGATCCATTGGAAACCCAACCTATTCTTAGTACCTTTTGGCTCTGCTGGAACATCCTTTGTGAAGGAAATTGCCCGCCTATTCCAAGCGTTCGCTGATGGATCAAGCCTGGAACGTGTTAGTATGAAGGCCATCACACTGGTTCAGATCCTTCTGCTACAGAAACCCAGTAGAAGGAGCAAGACGAAAGAACATGTCTCCCACCTGAAACGACGCCTTGATCTATGGTCCAATGGTGACATCCAGCAACTGCTTGATGAGGGGCGGTGCATACAAGCCCGATTGATATCTCGGTTGGCTCCCGGCAAGAATGATGTCGATGGTCACATCTTCAGATCTCTGATGGCACAAGGGAAGGTTCATAGTGCACTGAGCTATCTTTCTCGTGATCAAACCGGCGGCATTCTTGGTCTAGATGACATCATTCCACAGTCACAAGGATTGACCACCCGTGATATTCTCAGGGATAAGCACCCTCCCGGCAAACCTGCATGCCCCGAGTCCTTGCAGCCTGATTGCGTTGAGAGTGTAAATCCCATCATCTACAGCGACCTTGATGCTGAATGCATACTCCAAGCAGCCCTACACACGCAGGGTGCCGCTGGCCTCTCTGGCCTTGATGCATATGCTTGGAGGAGATTGTGCTCTTCTTTCAAGTCCACCTCTCATGACCTGTGCCATGCCCTTGCCGCTGTGGGCCGCAGAATCTGCACCTCCAACATCCATCCCGATGATCTCAGTGCCTTTGTTTCCTGCCGATTGATTCCATTGAACAAAAACCCCGGTGTGAGACCAATCGGAGTTGGGGAAGTGCCAAGACGAATAATTGCTAAGGCGATTCTCAGTCTCTTCCGCCTCGACATACAGGACGCCGCTGGCCCTCTGCAAGTGTGCGCCGGCCAAGATGGAGGCTGCGAAGCAGCCGTCCATGCTATGCGTCAATTTTTCGCGGAACCGGAAGTACATGGGGCTTTGCTAGTCGATGCCTCCAACGCCTTCAACACCATCAATAGACAAGCAACCCTACACAACATCAAATCAATTTGCCCTCCCCTTTACCAGATTCTCGTGAACACATATAGAGCTCCAGTAAGATGCATCATCTGTGGCGACGGGGAGATCACCTCTTCGGAAGGTACTACACAGGGGGACCCGCTAGCCATGGCCATGTATGCGCTAGCTGTGAAACCACTGATTGGGGAATTGAAGTCGGATGCCCCCGGAGTGAAGCAAGTCTGGTACGCGGACGATGCCACAGGTGCCGGCACCTGTGATGACCTAAGAAAGTGGTGGGACAGTCTGCAAGTACACGGCGCCAGATATGGATACCATCCTAACGCTTCCAAAACCCATATCGTAGTGAAAACCGAGCACGCAGTGAGGGCCAGGGAGTTGTTTGCCGACACTGATATCAACATCACTACCGAGGGCAAGCGGCATCTTGGAGCGGTTGTTGGCTCTAGATCTTATACCGAAGAATATGTGGCAGGCAAGGTGGAGAAATGGTCGGAAGAGATAAAAAAGCTAGCCCATATTGCCCAGACACAACCTCATGCCGCTTACAGTGCTTACACTCACGGTCTCTCGAGTCGCTGGTCCTTTCTGTCTCGAACCATCCCTGATATCGCTGACCTGTTAAATCCACTGGAGGAAGCTATCCAACAACATCTGATCCCAGCCTTAACTGGTCGCCCACCTTGCTCAAGAGAGGAGAGGGACCTGCTAGCTCTGCCAGTACGCCTCGGCGGAATGGGAATTACCAACCCAGTATCTACATCACATCGCAACTTTGAAGCCTCAACGAGACTAACATCACCCCTAGTTGCTACCATCGCCACCCAAGATCAGGACCGATCAGTGGACATATCAGAAGTATTGGAAGCAAAGGCCTCAATACGACGATCTAATCGCGAATATCAGGCGCAACAAGCCGAGTCTGTTCACGGCCACCTCTCTCCACAACTGAAACGCCACGTTGACCTTGCTATGGAGAAAGGCGCTTCCTCGTGGCTATCAGTCCTGCCACTTGATGACCACAATTTTTCCCTCCACAAGGGTGCGTTCAAAGATGCAATTTGTTTGCGATATGGCTGGAAGCTGCCGAACACCCCAACCAAATGCAGCTGCGGCACAGCCTTCTCAACTGATCATGCCATTATCTGCCCCAAGGGGGGCTTCCCTACAATTCGACATAACGAGCTGCGTGACGTAACGGCCTCACTGCTCTCGGAAGTATGCCATAACGTTGCCACCGAACCCCGACTCCAACCTCTCAGCGGGGAATCCCTGACCCATCGCACAGCCATCACTTCTGATGATGCCCGTCTAGACATCCGCGCAAGAGGATTCTGGTCTGCTGCTCAAGATGCATATTTCGACGTAAGGGTTTTTCACCCGAATGCACCGAGTAATAGATCAGGATCCTTACCTGCGGCCTACAAGAAACACGAGGACATCAAGAAACGGGCTTATGGCCAACGTGTTCGGGATGTGGAGTGCGGGGTCTTCACACCTCTTGTGTTCTCCACCACTGGGGGGATGGGACGAGAAGCCACAACCTTCTACAAAAGGCTGGCGGACATGCTCGCCCGGAAACAACAGATGCCATACCCCGTTGTCATCAGTTGGCTAAGGTGCAAGCTATCCTTTGCCGCTGTCCGATCATCCATCATGTGCATCCGCGGGACTAGATCGTCCATCAACAGACCATTACGGGACGCTGACATTACCCTCACAACATCCGAGGGCGGCATCCCTCAGGATGAATAGAACTGTTCCTCATGTTTTTACATTCACCCACTCATTCCCCCTTATTTCACCCTTCATTGTAACTGACTTGTTTTTTTTAGTAAAGTGTACGGAAAAAATATATATTAACCCTCGGCGCGCATGCGCACCGAGGGTTACTGTATTTGGTCTGTGTGTGTGTCTGTCTGTCTGTCAGCAGCTATTCTCGCACTACGGGCTACGAGGCGGGCCCATGAGCGATACCAACGTCTTCAGAACTACGCGAGCCTGAAAACTATTTAGGCGATTTTCCTGAAACGACTGCGTTTGAGAGATATGCCGTGAAAACAAGCGAAAAAGCCAATATGCATTGTAACAAACTCATCCCAAAACATACACGTGGCCAGAGATGATTACATCACAATGGGTAGTAATAATTATCTAGTTATATAGTCACATCAGAGTCCATGCATACTTCTTTCCCTCTGCGTTTTCACGTTCGACCATATGTGAAGGCGACTTCTTCGATGAGGCGATTTGGTCTGGTGTGTGGGCGAGTTGAGCGTCGTGGTTGAGGTGGAGGTCTAGGGCCCGGATTGACTGTGGAAGGTGGTCCGATTGCATCTGCTGGTGACCCTATTGGGACGCGCCGTCGTAGGTAGCGACGGTTTCTGACCAGGACACGGCCACTTGTGGTCGTGGGGCGATGGCTGTGACAACGCCGTAGATGTGCCACAGTTTTGTGACTGTGTTTTGAATAGCCACATTGGAGCCTACTCCGATTTCGGGAAGTTCTCGGGCATGTTGATTGTAGTTGTGTTCTACTTGTTCTGCGTTGCGTATGGCCTGTTGTTCGGCTTCTTCTGCACTTGTCTGCCATTGTGGTGCAAACGCCTGACAATGTGTGTCTTGTATGGGGTGTCCAAAAAGCTTCTGTGCTGGTGAGAGGTGATCCCGCTGAGAAGGTGTGTTACGGTACTGGAGCAGAGCTCGAGCGAGTTTCCGGTCATCGAGGCTGTCACGTTTCCATGCTGCTCGGATTAGTTTCTTCATAGATTTGACTGTGGCCTCAGCCTTCCCGTTGCTCTGTGGGTACATTGGGGAGGAGGTGATGTGTTGAAATCCCCATTCTTTGGAGAAATCTTTGAAGATCTTGGATGTGAACTGGGGGCTAGATGGCTCTGGACGTTCCAGTAGCACCGACACTGTTCTGGGAGTTGGTGGCGGTGGTCTGGGAAGCCGTTACGAATGTAGTGCTGGATTTGTTGGTACTCCTGATCAGCTTCAGCGTGTTGGCGGAGGTCTTGTAGGCGGAGATTTCTGAGGTGTCTTGTGGACGCAGCTCGTTCTGGGAGTTGGTGGCGGTGGTCTGGGAAGCCGTTACGAATGTAGTGCTGGATTTGTTGGTATTCCTGATCAGCTTCAGCATGTTGGCGGAGGTCTTGTAGGCGGAGATTGCTGAGGTGTCTTGCGGATGCAGCTCGTATCTCAGCGACGGATGACTCGGGATTGTTTTGCGGGTCGTACTCTGCCATCAGCTCATGTGGTAGGGGTTCGGAGACGGGGTTCCGAGAGAGAGCGTCTGGGGCATTGTTCAGAATGCCTTTGACCCATTGAGCCGTGAATTTGTAGGCCATGATCCTGTTTTTGAGGCGCTGGAGGCATGGGTTCTCTATTTCGTCCAGCCGGTGACTGTTGAGGATCGGTATGAGAGGGTGGTGGTCGGTGACGACGGTGAAGTGAGGAAGGCCCGCGAGGAACAGCTTGCATTTGGTGATGGCCCATGACACAGCTAGGAGCTCCAATTCAATGACGGCATACCTGGACTCCGCGTCGGAGAGAAATCTGGAGCCAGCCTGGATGAGGGCCCAGTTATCCCTGTTCTGTTGTTGCAATACGAACCCGAGTCCCTGATGGCTGGCGTCGGTGCAAAGGCGTGTGGGTTTGTTGAGGTCGAAATAGGAGACGGTGGGGGGCGGATGTGAGGGCCTGCTTGGCAGTGCAGAATGCTTTCTCGATGTCCGGGGACCACATGAACTCGTTTTTTGTGCTGAGTAGTGGCCGCAAGGGGGCTAACAGGTTGGCGAGGGCGGCCGTGCTTGCTGAAAGTTGGTTAGCGAGGTCGCAGAATGCACGGAGGTCTGTGCGGTTGGTTGGGGTGGGGAAGCTGGAAATCGCGTTGGTGATGGACTTGTCAACGCTGTAGCCTTGTGCTGATAGTGCGAAGCCAGCAAAGGTGACTTGTGGTTGGGCGAACTCCCATTTATCGGTGTTGAGGGTGATCTGTCGCTCGGCGCATCGTTGCAAGAAGGGTCGCTGTCATAGATGACGACATCGTCGATGGCGCGACGGTAACCCGTGAGGCCAGCGAAGGCTTCGTCCATCCTGCGGTTGTAATGCTCGGAAATGGATGATATGCCATAGGGGGCACGGAGGTTTTTAAACCTTCCAAAGGGGGTGATGAAGGTAGTTAGGAGCTGACCGTCTTCGTCTAGTGGACATTGGTGGTACCCTTTAAGGGCGTCGAGCTTGGTGAAAATCTTAGCACTTTCTGCTGTGATGTCTGCAACGGCTTGAGCGGGGATGGCTGACTGGTACCTTTTGCGTTTTACGAACCTGTTCAGGCGGGAGAGATCAACACACATTCTGATCCTATCGGTGCCTTTCTTGGGGGTGACAACTATGGGTGCACACCACTCTGTAGGTTCTGTGACGGGTGTGATGATCCCCTGATCCTGTAGGAGGTCCAACTCGGCTTTCAGCTTGTCGCGGAAGGCGAATGGGATTGCTTTGGGTGTGTTGACGCAGAATGGCTGGGCATCTTCCGTCAGTGTTATGTGGAATTTCTCACCGTCCATGGTCTTAATCTGTCCATCAAAGACAGATGGGAACTCACGCCTGGTGTCAAATGTAAGAACTGGTTTGTTGACGGTGGTGCCGGCAAGGCGCGGCTGGGTGGTAGTTGGTGGGGGGTTGGGGTATTGCTCGGGAAGAATGGTCAGTCCCTTGGCAGACTTCCAGGATAGTAGTGTCCCGGTGACATTGGGGTAGATGTGGAAATCGTCGGTATAGGCATGTGTTCCAAGGGAGAGCGTGACAGGAAGTTTCCCGATGTGGTTCATGGTGGTTCCGTTGACGGCTCGGGGAGTGATGGTCGATGGTAAGAGGTTGTCGGGGTGTTCGTGGAGTTGCTGTAGGAGGGCTGTACCAGCGACGCAGATGTCCGCCCCTGAGTCAGGCAGAGCCTCCACTGTTGCCTTTCCGTTGAGGGATGACATGTGGACTCTAATGGTAGGGGCCGGTTCAAAGGTGAGTGGAGGGCGGAGTTTGGTAGATGCCATGAGTGGCGTGGCGGAGATGACACGTGCACCTGGTGGGGTGACGGTGGGAGAAGTGGGAGGGATTCTGTGGTTGGGTGGGTGGGGGCGGGGGTGGCCTCCGTCCTCTACAAACTATTCCGAAGTGGCCCACCTTCTTACATATGTGGCACATAGCGTTAAAGGCGGGGGCCCTTCATGGAGGCCAGAGCCACAGTCAGGGCAGGACCTACTCGGGTGGGGTCTTGGAGAGGTGGGTTGTCTCCGGAGGGTTTGGACGTTCGTGTGCTCTCGTGGGGTGTTGGTCATCTCTGCTCGTTGTTTTTTTAGCGGCCTCCTGAGCGCGACAGGTGTTGATGGCTTTGTCCAGAGTGAGGTAGAGTGTTTGTTCTAGGCGGCGGGGCTCGCTAACGCGAAAGTAGGCGGGGCCGCTGGGCGCTTCTCGCACCGCTAGCGTGCGCGTCTGGCTCGAGCTGTAGCTAGGGCCCTGTAGTCATGCACCGCTTCTTTCTAGAAGACGGAGTACCTGGGTCTCCAGAAGCTCCGTTCGCACGGGGTCTCTCGAATTGAAGGCGTGGTTGCTATGACCAAAACGCGTAAGAAAGTGCCGCAGGGCTGCGAAATAGTTACCGCGGAAGAGGTAACTAACAAAAAATAGTTACCTCTAAACTCGGAATCTGATTGGTCAATTGCGTGTTACCGTAGTCTAAAAGGGTGTTGGTTACTCACTAGTGTATTGTAAGTTCTGAGTATTGTAATGGTGAATGTTTAATACTTCACCTGGGCAACAATATAGGGATTTTGTGATGGGGTTGGGGGTGTCAGCATATTCAAATCTGTTCATTAACCATGCTTCATGTATCCCATCCCTATCTTGTCTCCCTTTTTTTATACCATCCCTATATGCCTCTTTTTTAAATTCGCAGGATTTTCAATTTACTTGTCTCCACTAATTTTTATATACTACTACGTATTATCTCTGTGGAAGGGGGCAAGCCCCTATAAAAACTAATAATAGAGAAAAAATGCCTGTTGTAGTCATGGAAATGATATGCATACAATCCATGTGTGCTGCCGTTAACAAGTTTGAGGAGTGAAGAAGTAATTTTAAAGAAAATTGTCTGAGGCTATTTGTTGTTGTGGTCGTCATGGAAACGATGTAATACACATGCGCACCAAGTTTCACCTCCATGCGTGCTACAGTTAGCAAGTTTGAGGAGTGAAGAACAAATTTTAGAGAAAAGTACCTGAGGCTA